TGATTATTTTGTTATTTAGGAAGATTAAGACCCGTAACAAATATAAAGAAAGGGATAATATATTCTGGGGTCCTACCTAAACCCCTATTCCACCCATAGAATTATTAAGAGTAAAACAAAAATTAATTTCTGTGCGCCATGGAGAAGTACTATTTTATATACTTATCTAAATTTCTAATCATTAATTGAGAGTACGTATACCTAATTTAGCCTTTGTTTGATGGTTATTATTGTGTAATATGATATTTTGAATAGTAATTTTTTTAAAAATGTGAGGTTAAAAAGTGAGGAAAAGTTTTGGGTTTACGTGCAAAATATTTTATTATGCAAACATATGGTTGAAAATAAATATGAGAACTAAATATTTTGTTTTAATGGGAGTAAAACAAGGGCTTAGTGTAAATATATTAATTGTAGGAAAATTCCAACTTTGATGCATTTAGAGTGAAGAAAGGTTTGGAAATTAATTAGAGTTGATTCGAAGCACTTGAAGATCAACTAGGCTTTATTCGATCAATATGAGAAATTAAGAGAGCAATTGGAAGTTATTTACAATTTTTGGGAGCCAAATCCAAATTTGGAATGTTTGAGGGCTTAATTTCAAATTTTCAAAACTTGCATCATATCAATTAGGATAATTATAGAGAATGAGGATCGAAGTGTAAAGAATTGGAAGATGAAGGACCCATGGTGAAAATAAAAGGGACTCAGGCTGAACAAAAAGTGAAACTCGAGGAAAGAGTGGAAACTTTGGACAAAGCTTTGAAGCATAAGATCACAAACTTGGATGGCTACGATCGCAAGGCTACTGAAATTCAAACACTCATGCTCAAAGTATCCATCATGCGATCGCATGGTAATAATCGTCAGAAAATCTTTTGTTCTATTTTGATTCAGTTGCTTCTTGAATAACAGCTATAAAGCCCGTGCAATCACGTGATAATAATGGCCAGGAAAACTTTTGTTCCTATTTTGATTCAATTGCTTCTTGAATAGAAATTAGAGCACGAGTTTTGACGTAATTTTCGATCTATGAATACAATTCACGGGTAAAATTAGAGAGAAGGTAAAAAATATGAAATTCTTACAAAGGCGAAAGCAAAAAAAGGAGAAGCAATTGATAGATGAACTAAGAGTGAGCATTTTAATCGGAAACAAACCTCCCAAACCGAAATTGGAGGTTTCGTTCTGGTTCCAAAATAAAAAATATGAACCAAAATCGATAGCACATGGTGACAATCATTATAAAGTCCTGTAGATGATAGAAATAATCATATATGCTTTGCATGATTTCTTTGGATGTTCTTCGTTTAGCCTTTGTTTGACAACCATTATTTTCAAACTTTTTTTTTATATACTCATTTTCAATAACAAATCTATACAATAGAATATTCTGCACGTGAATTTAAAAAAAAATTTACTTTTTAATCATACATTCTTCTAAAAATCATTATTCAAATTTTTTTTTTCCAAAATAATTGTTATCAAACAGAGGCTTAATGTATCTTCTTATTTTTGCATTCGGGATAGATACATTTTGAGTTAAAAGTGAGGATAAATTTAATTCAACTTTTGAGTGAAATTAAATAAAATAAGAACATTGGTCTCAATCCAAGTAAACATTGTCGAATTATGGGATTAATATTTAGATGGAAGAATATAGATGGATTCAAAGTTTTAGTACATGCAATTAATTGAATATTGATAAAGGCTTCAAAATTTGCTAGTTTAATAGTTAGATTAGTTAGTTAGTTTTAGTTAATTAATATATCTTATCTTCATTGTGTCATCTAATTAGAGTTTGATAGCATTACTTGTGAACTTTTTTATAAATTGTCCAACAATTTCACTACTTCGGTAAGATTATCTAATGCGTTAGTTTTCTTTACATTTACTTGTGTTGAGTAAATAGTCTTGTACGTGATGTATAAGGGTTTAAGTTTTGGGGTATTTTATAATTGTATTTTCAAACTTCTTAACTTAATGGATTATGGTTAATTGAGTGGTTCTCTACCAAATTTAGTGTAAATATTTTAATTATAAAAAAAAAAACCCCGATTTGGAGTGAAGAAATGCAATTTGGAATTTAATTGGAGTTGATTATGAATTATTGAAGATCAAACGGATTACATTTGATTAATATGAAGAATTAAGAGAGAGAGAGAGAGAGAGAGAGAGAGAGAGAGAGAGAGAGAGAGAGCCATTGGAGGAGATTCATAAGTGTCGGGCGCTATATCCAAAATTTGAAAAGTTTGGGGATTTAATTGCAAACTTTGGAAACTTGCATCTGGTTAATTATGAATGATTTTTTAGAGCGAAGATCCAAGTTAAAGAATTGGAAGATGAAGAATATGAAAGATACTTTTATATCGTCGATGTTGACGGCTACGGTTACGTTAATTTCAAAGAACTCAAGAAAAAGTTGGGTAGGCCTTCGTCAAGAAAAAGTAACTTCTAGATAGTTGTCAGGTGAATTTGTATATTCACAATCACACTTCATCGTCTTTCCTTATTATATGGTTCTATCTTATTGAGAATTAGTAAATTTTTGTTGCATCTGCAAATAGTGGGTACCTTTGGTCAAATTTGATGGGAAAGATACAACAAAAATCAATTCTCAAAATCACTGTCGAAAAAAAAAAGGAATGCTTTTTATGCTTTTTAATTCTTAATCCGTAAAATCGAATCAAAATCAATTTTTTGAAATCATTGGTTTGGATCCACCTAGATCCATCAAAGTGTTGATTTTTAACCAAATCGAACCGTGTCAAAGTGGTTTGGTTTATATTTCAATCTTTGCAAACCATTTCAAACCATTAAACAATTTATAAAAACCAATCTGAAAATAAATTAATTTAAATTTTATTCAACTCAATAAAAATTAAAAACATCACTATTAAAAATATACATATTAGATATAACCAAATCAAACTCAATACCTAAATAGACAATTATTCATCCCAACTAAATAATTAAATCATACTCAAATACTCGTCAGTCATCAAAATTGTAAATGTAAAACACTTAAATTGGGTGAAGTGTTAATAACTGCTGTTGAACCCTAATCATCGACCACCCATTACAATTATTTTAAATTTTAATTCAAACTCACACATTTATTTTCTTCTACTAATAATTTTCTCGAATTTCAACTAAATTTTTAGGTCAATTTATTCAAAATTTCTTGTTTTTTAATAATTGTTTGTTATATTTTATTGATAGTTATATTGTTTTATTTTGCTCTAATTTATGTCGAACGCCCTTAATGGAGTTCAAACATGAGCTAAATATCATTGTCAATTACAAGGACATGCACCTATCTCGAACAACTTTATTGAAAAAATAAATACTTGTAAAATTTAGGAGCAATACTATTCATAATCGCTCACTATCGTCCTATGTGATATTCAATATGACGGTTTGTGATTTGATGTATTAATGTGATGATTTTTCTTACTTCATATATCAAATCACTAATAACCATATGTATGCCACGTAAGACGACGGCGACAGTAAGTGACTGCGAATAACATTATTCAAAAATTAGTTTATGCCCAATATATAAATAAAACCAATTCCCTGGCGTGCAATGCATATGTGCGTCAACCAAGGCCAGGAAATTGTCCATGGCTCTGACAAAAGTTGAGAATTTGAGACCAACAAAGAAGGAAATCAACAGGGGAGCATGGACGCCAGAAGAGGATCGGAAACTGGCGGAAGCCGTCGAAATCCACGGCCCAAAGCTGTGGAAGGCCATTGCCACCACCACAGGTCAAATGATATATTCATCAGTATACATGTATTAGCTTGAACAATTAAAATTTTCAATATACATACGTGTATATGCAGGACTGAATCGGTGTGGCAAGAGTTGCAGGCTGAGATGGATGAATTATCTTAGACCAAACATCAAGAGAGGAAGTATGACCGACCAAGAGGAGGATTTGATTCTCAGGCTTCACAAACTCCTAGGAAACAGGTTTGACTATCATTTGATAACTTCTTAACATCCAATCGATTAATCTTAAATTTATTGAGATTGAGACTGAGCGAGACTTAGTTTTTCGTTGCTGATGTTGGTTGTAGATGGTCGTTGATTGCGGGGAGATTACCAGGTCGAACAGACAATGAGATCAAGAATTACTGGAAATCCCATTTGGGCAAGAAGATTGAGAAGTCAAACCGAGGGAATTCAAGAAAAGAGGGAGACTCCACGAGTGAAGAGCTAATGAGAGAAAAGATTAACTCATCTAACTTCAATGTTACTGGTTCTGATGAGGACTCAAAAATCAGCTTTGATTTGGATGATTTTTTTGATTTTTCCAATGAGAATCCCTCAACTTTAGAATGGGTCGGCAAATTTGTTGAATTTGGTGGAGTTGATTAATTTGTGATCAAGGAGTTGACGATATATTTAACATAGTTTGAAGGTCGTCAGTTTGTAAATTAGCTCCAACACTTTGATCATCAAATTAGCTTGGATGTCATAGTCCAGTTTGTAAATTACTTCTTGCTGAATTATGGACAGCAAAGCAATCTATAAACTCTCCTCTTTCATTTTGGTTCATGCGCGAAGAGTGTTATCCGATAAACCTATCGAAATCCGAGGAAAAATCCTTAATAAATTAGAAAGCCTCCGATCAATGTCACATCGAGTTCTTTATAAAGAGAGCTCGATAGGTTGTTAATCCCAATTAGTTTTGTCCAAAAACTAGAAAATTATTACCATAGCAATTGACAGAAAGGTATAAATTCATAAACGCATCAAATCCATTTAAAGCAACATTACATGTCATTTCAAAACGAAATTTTAACTTTATTGAAAAAATAAATACTTGTAAAATTTAGGAGCAATACTATTCATAGTCACTCACTGTCGTCCTATGTGATATTCAATATGACGGTTTGTGATTTGATGTATTAATGTGATGATTTTTCTTACTTCATATATCAAATCACTAATAACCACATATATGCCATGTAGGACGACTGCGACAGTGAGTGACTGCAAATAGCATTATTCAAAAATTAGTTTATGCCCAATATATAAATAAAACCAATTCCCTGGCTTGCAATGCATACGTGCATCAACTAAGGCCAGGAAATTGTCCATGGCTCTGACAAAAGTTGAGAATTTGAGACCAACAAAGAAGGAAATCAACAGGGGAGCATGGACGCCAGAAGAGGATCAGAAACTGGCGGAAGCCGTCGAAATCCACGGCCCAAAGCTGTGGAAGGCCATTGCCACCACCACAGGTCAAATGATATATTCATCAGTATACATGTATTAGCTTGAACAATTAAAATTTTCAATATACATACGTGTATATGCAGGACTGAATCGGTGTGGCAAGAGTTGCAGGCTGAGATGGATGAATTATCTTAGACCAAACATCAAGAGAGGAAGTATGTCCGACCAAGAGGAGGATTTGATTCTCAGGCTTCACAAACTTCTAGGAAACAGGTTTGGCTATCATTTGATATCTTGTTAATATCCAATCGATTTATCTTAAATTTATTGAGATTGAGACTGAGCGAGACTTAGTTTTTCGTTGCTGATGTTGGTTGTAGATGGTCGTTGATTGCGGGAAGATTACCAGGTCGAATGGACAATGAGATCAAGAATTACTGGAAATCCCATTTGAGCAAGAAGATTGATAAGTCAAATGAAGGGATTTCAAGTAAAGAAGAAGACTCTACGAGTGAAGAGCTAATGAGAGAAAAGATTAACTCATCTAACTTCAATGTTACTGGTTCTGATGAGGACTCAAAAATCAGCTTTGATTTGGATGATTTTTTTGATTTTTCCAATGAGAATCCTTCAACATTAGAATGGGTCGGCAAATTTGTTGAATTTGGCGGAGTTGATTAATTTGTGTTCAAGGAGTTGACGATATATTTAACATAGTTTGAAGGTCGTCAGTTTGTAAAATAGCAAAAATACTTTGATCATCAAATTAGCTTGGATGTCATAGTCCAGTTTGTAAATTACTTCTTGCTGAATTATGGACAGCAAAGCAATCTATAAACTCTCTCTCTTTCATTTTGGTTTGTGCGCGACGAGTGTTATCCGATAAACCTATCGAAATCCAAGGAAAAATCCATAATAAATTAGAAAGCCTCCGATCAATGTCACATCGAGTTCTTTTCCATCCCCAATATTTTTGCCCCGGAAAATGGTATCCATTTTTCCGTTAGTCAACCCGTTTGACCAACATCCTTAAAAATTGAAAAGGGAAAAATTGTTCTTAATTAAAATATTACAAAAAGAAAATGAAAAATTCAGGGAAAAAACAATATTAAAAAGGAAATGAATATAAAAAACAATAAATAAAAAAACAAGTAATCTTCTTCATCGATCCCCTTTCCGCCATCACCGCCACCTCAGGCCATTCTAACGGAAATATGCAACCTCGATTTGCCGGAAAACAAGCAAATTAACGCCATTATAACTTAGCAAGAATCCTATTCTACACATTACCTTGAATTTCAAATATCAAGTTATATAGCCAAAACGATTGCACATCTATGATGAAAGTCATTGGCCGAAAAGGATGATCAAAAGCATAATTAATTTTGATTTTTGATTTTCATTTGAAATTTTTCCTCCCTTTCGGTTCATTTCAAAAATTAGAATGTAGAATACTTAATTTTCGTTGGACTGCTGCAAGAATCAATCTTGAATCACTGCTTAAATTTACAGTACTTTGCAGTCTTTGGCATTCATAACCATGCATTCTCCTTCCATGAACAAATAAATTTAGCTAACTCTGAATGCAAATATCACCATAATTTTCTTAAAATAGCTACGCTTCCCCAAAGGATATCCAGATCACATTACAAAAAGACTACATACGTACCCATTGAAACCAGGGAATTTGAACATGGAATGGTAGAGAAAACTTAAATAAGATTATAACTATATTCTCTTCTCCAGCTTGGAAATGCTGTGACACGTCAATTTTCTTGAGGTAAAAATATACACAAAAAACTGATACTCATTGGATTTTCGGAGAAATGCTCTCCGTGTAGATTGGGACTCTGTCTTTTTAAGCAACATTGGCGAAGGACGCTCAGAATGGCGGGGGAACCACGTCTGATGCATCTTTTGGGTGATGATGTGATTATCTATAATAATTTTCAGCAGCTCTGAAAGGTATTTAGTTTGACAATTAGTATTCTTTATATCATTCAAGGTAAAATTAGTCTCACAAGTATAAGCTGCATGTTAGATATCTCAAATAGATGCATCTTTCTTACAACAAACTTGGTACTCATGAAATCTGAATAAAAATGCTCTCTGCATATTGACTTTGTTCTTTTCAAAAGACATCCAAAAAGGTAGCTCAGAATGACAGAGGGTTGAGCATATGTCGTCTGATGCATCTTGCAGGTGATGATGTGATTATCCATTGTCAATCAAGACGTGATATTTGCACAATTGTACGGCATGATTGTAGAAACAATATGAAAATAGTTGTATTTTCCCTCTATAGCTAGCCTAAATTATAGAGAATTGCTGAAAATCAGCATTGTAATAGGAAATGATTACCTATGAATCTCTATTTAAAGAGAAGAACGCGTTCAATGAAAATCATCAATCAAATTCCATCTTCCTTGTCATCCATAACTATTATCTCTAACAATTTTCGGCAGCTCTAGAAGGCATTAATTTGACAATTAGTAGGGTTTATGTCATGCAAGGCAATGAAATGGTAAAATTAGAATCACAAGTATAAGCTCCACTGCCAAAATTCTGCAAGTAAATATCTAAAATATCCACTATGTACAAATTCCATATGTAAAACAAAAACCATAACCGAAATCTCGTCTTTACTTCTCTTACACCTCTTCTACACTAACCCAACATCAGGTCGCATGTCTCAGATGATAAACTGAACAATTCGACATTCTTGCCCCTTCTTCTCTTATTTCTTAGACGTCATCCACATTGAGTTTTATTATTATTCCTCTCATTACACTATCTGCAGGTTTGTTAAGCATTACGTTATTACTGATTACATTATTAGATATTGCAACTTATATTTTTTACCACTTCAGAACTCAAGGAACCTTTCAAAACTCTATAACAGTGTTGAGCATTTTCAAATATATAGAGCTTAAGCAGAAGAACAAAGAGCTTTCCAAAACCTGATTTCAGCATTTCGAACAATACCATTTCAGAAAGATGAAGCAAGTAAACTTACTTTAAAGCTTTACCGCAGCCAGAGTTTATCTGTCAATATCATTTACAACAACAAAGGAAGCATTATTCCCAGAAAAATATTGAAGATAGAAGCTAAAAATAAAATAAACACAAAAAAGAGAGAAACACCAAAGGAGAAAGCATCTAAAAGAATTTGCAAGCCACCAGTAGTGTGTAACCATAAACTAGAAATGGTTCACTAAAATCGAGGCAGTTCAAGCTCAGTTTTATGGCAGCAAGTTGAAACCACATAACATTTCTAAACAAATAAACCCACACACTAAATTAAATGTTCAGCAGCCCAAAACATAAGTACATACCAAAAGCTTGTTTTAAAATAAAGGGTAATTAGCACAAAACATCCCTACCTTTCAATGTTTTTGTGGAAAACGTCCTTACCTTTCATTTTTTGACGGATTACACCCTTACCTTTCCCTTTTTTTGTGTAAAACGTCCTTCTGTCAACTCTCCGTTAAAATGCTCCGTTAAATCAAAAAGGTAATTAGCACAAAAGGTCCCCTACCTTTCAAAATTATTGTGCAAAACGTCCCTACCTTTTATTTTTTAGCATAATTAGCAGAAAAGGTCCCTACCTTTCAATATTATTGTGCAAAACGTCCATACCTTTCATTTTTAGCATTTTTACCCCTACATTTCACCTTTCATTGCGCAAAAGGTCCTTTTCATCCATTTTTTCAATAAAATGACGATTTTACCCTCCGATTGAAATAAAACAAAAAGAAAAGAAAAAAACTAATTAATTAATTGCAATCATAGTTCTAAAT